GATGAACATAGATGCAAAAGTTCTCAACAAAATACTAGCAAAAAGCATTCAACAATACATTAAGAGGACAGTTCACCATAATCAAGTGGGATTTACTCCAGGGATGCAAGGATGGTTTAAAATTCGTAAATCAATCAATGTGATACAGGATATTAACAAAAGAAAGGATAAAAACCATATGACTATCTCAATAGATCAGAAAAACCTTTTGACAAAATACAACATCCATTCATGATAAAAACTCTCAACAAAGTTGGTTTGGAGGGAACATATCTCAACATAATAAAGGCCATATATGAAAAACCCACAGCTAACATCATAATCAATGGTTAAAACTGAAAGCTTTTCCTCTAAGATCAGGAACAAGACAAGGATGTCCACTCTTTTTTATTCAACATAGTACTGGAAGTCCGAGCTGCAACAATCAGGCAAGAAAAAGAAATAAAAAGCATCCAAATTGATAAAGAAGTAAAACTGTTACTATTTGCAGATAACATAATACTCTATGTGGAAAACTCTGAGGACTCCACCAAAAAACTGTTAGAACTAATAAATGAATTCAGCAAAGATGCAGGATACAAAATTAATATACAGAAATTTCTATACATCAATAATGTAGTAGCAGAAAGAGAAATTAAGAAAACAATCCCATTTCCAATTGCATAAAAATTAACATAGTTTGGGATGCTTGGGTGGCTCAGTCAGTTGAGTGTCCAACTTTTTTTTTTAAGATTTTATTTATTTTGACACAGAGAGAGAGAGTAGGAGCGGCAGGCAGAGGGAGAGGAGAAGCAGGCTTCCTGCCAAGCAGGGAGCCTGATGTGGGTCTCGATCCCAGGACCCTGGGATCATGACTTGAGCCAAAGGCAGATGCTCAACTGTCTGAGCCACCCAGGTGCCCCGAGTGTCCAACTTTTGATCTCAGCTCAGGTTTTGATCTCAGGGTCATGAGTTCAAGCCCCATGTTGGGCTCCATGCTGGGTGTGGCGCCTACTTAAAAAAAAAATACCTGGGAATAAACTTAACCAAGGAGGTGAATGACCTGTACTCTGAAAACTCTAAAACACTGATGAAAGAAGTTGATGATGACACAAACAAATGGAGAGATATTCTATGCTCATGGATTGGAAGAATTAATACTGTTAAAATTTGTTAAAATGTCCATAGTATGCAAAGCAATATACAGATTCAATGCAATCTCTATCAAATGCTAATGGCATTTTTCACAGAACTGGAACAAATAACTGTAAAGTTTGTATGGAATCACAGAAGACCCTGAATAGCCAAAGCAATCTTGAGAAAGAACAGAGCCACAGGTATCATGCTCCGATTTCAAACTATACTACAAGACTATACTAATCAAAACAGTATGGTCCTGGCACAAGAATAGACACATAGATCAATGGAACAAGATAGCCCAGAAATAAACCCATGCTTATATGGTCAGTTAATCTATGACAAAGGAGACAAGAATATCCAATGAGGAAAAAGCAGTCTTTTCAATAAATGGTGCTGGGAAAACTGGACAGCTAAAAAATGCAAAGAAATGAAACCGGACCACTTCTTTTTTACACCATACACAAAAATAAACTCAAAATGGATTAAAGGCCTAAATGTAGGACCTAAAACCATAAAATTCCTAAAGGAAAACATAGGCAGTAATCTCTTGGACATCAGCTCTAGCAACATATTTATGGCTATGTCTCCTGAGGCAAGAGAAACAAGCAAAAATAAGCTATTGGGACTACACCAAAATGAAAAAAGCTTTTGCACAGCAAAAGAAACCTTTAACTTAACAAAAAGGCAACCTCCTGAATGAGAAAAGATATTTGCAAATAATATATCTCATTGAGGGGGTAATATCCAAAATATGTTAAGAACTTATACAACTGAGGTGCCTGAGTGGCTCAGTTGGTTAAGCATCTGCCTTCGGCTCAGGTCATGATCCCGGAGTCTGGGGATTGAGTTCCATGTCGGGCTCCCTGCTCAGTGGGGAGCCTGCTTCTCCCTCTGCCCCTCACCCTGCTCATGCACGCTCTCCTGCTCCTTCTCCTCACTCACTCTCTCTCAAAAAAATCTAAAAAAAAGAACTTATACAACTGAACACCAAAAAATCCTGAATAATCTGATTAAAAATGAAGACTTGAATAGACATTTCTCCAAAGAAGATATCCAGATGGCCAAAATATACATGAAAAGATGCTCAACATTGCTCATCATCAGGGAAATGCAAATCAAACCCACAATGATATATCCTTTCACACAAGTCAGAATGGCTAGTATCAAAAAGATAAGAAATAACAAGTGTTGGAGAAAAGGGCACCCTCATGCATCTTCAGTGGGAATGTAAATTAGTCCAAGCACTGTGGAAAACAGCATGGAGGGTCCTCAAAATATTAGAAATAGAAATACCATATGATCTAGTAATTCCACTACTGGGTATTTACCCAAAGAAAATGAAAACACTAATTTGAAAAGACATATGCACCCCTACGTTTACTGAAGCACTATTTACAATAACCAAAATATAAAAGGAACCCAAGTGTCTATCAATAGATGAATGGAATATTACTCAGGCATAAAAAAGGAATGAGAGCTTGTCATTTGTGATAACATAGATGGACCTAGAAGGTATTATGGTAAGTGAAATAAGTCAGACAAAGAAAGACAAATACCATATGGTTTCACTTATATGTGGAATCTAAAACACAAAACAGGAAGCAAGCAAAACAAACAATAACCCCAAACAAAGCCAATCTCTAAATACAGAGAACAAACTACTGGTTGCCAGAGGGGAGATGGGTGGGGGTGGGCAAAATAGACAAAGAGAATTAAGAGGTACAAACTTCCCAGTTATAAAATAAGTAAGTCATGGAGATGAAAAGTCCAGCATAGGGAATATACTCAGTAATATTGTAATAATGTTGTTTGGTGACAGAAAACAACACATTTTTCTCCTTTGAACTTTTTTTAAAATTTTATTTTTTTTAAAGTTTTTATTTATTTATTTGACAGAGAGAGACACAGTGAGAGGGAACACAAGCAGGGGGAGTGGGAGAGAGAGAAGCCCGCCTCCCACCGAGCAGGGAGCCTGATGTGGGGCTTGATCCCAGGATCCTGGGATCATGACCTGAGCTGAAGGCGGACACTTAATGACTGATTCACCCAGGTGCCCCCCTGCTTTGAACTTTTATGTGTACTTGAGTTTATCTGTGGCCCCTCTACTCTTCACTCATCCATTCACTCTCCCAATAAATACTTACTGAACAAATAATGTATTTAGAATAGACCAGATATTACATATACATATATAATATATACTATATATAACAGATATTTAAAAAAAATAGTCTCCCAGTTAACTTCCTTTTAAACTGAGATAAATTCTTTGAAGGAAGGATGGATGTGCATGTTATGAGAGCATGTAACAGAGAAACACAATCTATTTGAGGTCTGTTAGGGAAGGCCTTTCTGAGGAAGTGGCAATTGAAAATTCAAAGAATAAGAATTAACTAGGTGAATAGGCACAAAGAAGGCATTCTAAACAGCAAATAGCATATCCAAAAGCTTGAAACATGCTTCAGCATGGCATTATAAGGAACTGAAAGAGGGTCAATATGAGGGAGTGAGGGAGAGAAAAGAAAAATTCAATAAATTGAGCTACATGAAAGCTAAAATCTGCTTTTCATAAGAACTGTTAAGAAAATGAAAAATGTTTGTATCCAAAATATAAAAATATATGAATAAAGAACTCTTACAACTCAATGACAAACTATCCAACTTAAAAATGGGCAAGAGATTTAAACACTGTATGAAAGAGATACAGATGGTAAATAAAGACATGAAAAGATGCTCAACATCACTAGTCAACAGGGAAATGAAAATTAAAAGCATAAGATACCACTATGAACACATTGGAATAGCTGAAATTTAAGAGACTGACCATACCAAGTATCGCCAGGAATGTGGAGCAACTGGAACTGATACACTATGGTACATCAGAGTGTAAAATGGTACAAGTGGTTTATAAAGAGTTTGTCAAAGTTAAAAATGTACCTACCATATGACCCATTAATTCTAATCCTAGGTATTTACCCAAGCAAGAGAAGTGAAAGCATATGGCCATAGAAAGACTTGTACATGAACATTTATAGCAACTTTATTCATGTAGCCAAAAAACTAGAAACAACCCAAATATCCTTCAGTGGGTAGATGGATAAACAAATATGCTACATCTATACAATGGACTACTTCAGAAATAAAAAGGAATGAGATATTGATGCACATAACAATATGGAAAATCTCAAAATAATTACGCTGAGTGGAAGAAGCCAGACAAAAGTACATACTGCATGATTCAATCTCTAGAAAATCCTAGAAAATACAAACCAATCTATCCTGACAGAAGGTAGATAAGTGATTTTCTGGCAGGGGATAGTGGGGTACAGTGGGGAAGATTGACTGCAAAGAGACACAAAGGAACTTTCTTAGATAACAGAAATATTCTATATTTTGATTTGGGGTAGTGGTTGCATGTACATATATATTTGTCAAAAGTCATTGGATTGTGCACTTAAAATAGGTGCATCTTATTTTATGTAAATTATACATCAATAAAATGCATTAAAATACAAAAGTTCAAAAAGTAGAATAATCCCCCCTATAATATCATGCAGGCATTGCAGAAGTTTCAGTGACAAGGTTAGGATATGACTATGGAAGGAGAAGAACAAGATCAGTGAAAGAGAAGAAGTCAAGGATCTGAGAGGCCAGAGTACTGGAAGGGTCATCTGTGTAGATATTAAAATCACCAAGAATTGTGATAGGAATAGTGTTGGAGAGAGTGACAATGATTCAGAAGCTAAAAATCCTCAAGAACTAGGAGAGAGTGACCCAGTGTTTGGAAGACTACTATAACAAGGAAGGGTAGTGGGTGAATTAGTCTGATTTTATGAGACTCAAGATATTTCTAGAGACTCAAGATATTTCTAGAGACTCTAGATATTTCTTTGTATGGGGGAAGTAGAATGGTCTGGACACAAGAATGAGGAGCAAGGATACCTAAAGGATACATACCTTGTTTCCAGGCTCAATGGTGAGAAGAATGAGGAAGAAAAGGTAGCCACTTCTTGAGAGGGCTATGGTTGATGCAGTGTCTTGTGGGAAATCCAGGCTTTAGACACTTCAATCTCAACATGCCCCAAACTGGATTCCTTCATTTTTCTTTACTCCACTCACCAACCTACTCTTTCTGTAGGGCTCCTAATCCTGTGAATGACACTACTATCTGCTATGGACTGAATTGTATTCTCCCAGAATCATATTTTGAAACCCTTCAATGTGATAGTATTTGGAGGCAAGGCCTTTGGGAAGTAATTAGGTTTATATGAGGTCATGAGGATGGGGACCTAATGATGGGATTAAGGCCCTTAAAAGAAGAGACCAGGAAGCTTTCTCTCTCCTCTCCTCCTCTTCTCTCTGCCCACCATGCAAGGACACTGAGAAAGCAATGATCTATAAGCTAGGAAGAGAGGTCTTACCAGAACCTGACCATGCTGGCACCTTGATCTTGAACATCCAACCTGTAGAACTTTGAGAAGATAAATATCTGTTGTTTAAGCCACCAAGTCTCTGGTATTTTGTTATGGCAGCCTGAGCAGACAAGACACTATCTAATGAGTTGCCCAAATTAGAAACTTGAGGATAATCCTTCTGCTTTGCTCCCAAATTGAATTCAACACTAATTCTTGTCAGTTTTACTTATAAATATCTCCAAATAAGTTTCGTTCTTTCATTTGCCATGGCTTTTACATCATTCATTCATTCAATATTTATTTGATGCTTACTATCTGTCCAAAACTGTTAGTTGCTAGCTACCCAAGTGCAAGCCATCAGCATATCTCATCTGTTGGATGGATTTATTTGTTTGTTTATTTATTTATTTATGCTTTTGCCTCAGTCTGTAGAAGAAAGTAAAGGGTACTTTTCACCTTACAGCTGCTCTGATCTGTCATTTCTAACAATATTAAAGTCCCAGAAGCCCTGGGCATAATCCTAATTTTGGGGGCAAATTTTCCTTTCCCTGGCAATGGGCACAACAGAGGAAATGATGGTTACTGTTGTTCTTTTGTGATGTCAGGGAGTGAAAAGCTGTGGGAAGAGGCTCCCAACCTTGGCAGTTGTGTTTCTTTTGTAACGGAAGTCAAACTAACGATCCAATCAGAACTGGGGCTAGTAAGTAGAAACATGATTATGGGTGGGAGACAGGAAGAAGAATGGAGTCTGATTATAGATACAGCAGGAAGGGTGGATCGCCCTTGGCAAAAGGAAAGGCAAAACACTGAGATGTGGGGGAAATGCAGTCAAGTTTTACAGGAAAACTGAGGTTTTTTTTCCCTGTTTATAATATACTGATTTAAAGTGCCATCACAGAAAATTTTAGGATGTAAATTCCCTAGCCTGACTGAAGAATTACCACCTCTTAAGTATATATAGCTGGCAAGGACAGGATGTGGTCATTCACAAAAACAACTTTTTCTCTTTATGTTTGTGATCTAAGTTTCTAAATATGAAAAATAATAATAGTCACAATATCTGACATTTATTGAGCGTTTACTATGTTAACAACTATAGTGTTTTATGTAGTTGTTTTATTTAATCCTCACAGTGAAGATGATCCCATGAGGTAGGTTCTGTTAACCCTCTTGTTTCACAGGTGAGGAAATTGAGGCTCAGAGAAGCTGACTTGTTCAAGTACACTCAGCTAGACAAGAGCTAATGATCTATTTACTCTTCTCATGTAGCAGGTCCAGGACTGTCTACTCCAAAACCCAAACTCTTAAACACTGTTTTCTCCCATCTAATAGTTTTGTTGAATTTTAAAAAATTAATCAGTTTTTATGATAGTCTTTATGATAGTTCTAAGAGAGTTTGAAAAAGGTCTGAAAATTCAGAGAAAGGTATAATCTCTTTTTTCTTTTCCACATAGATAAAATGTTTTTGTTGTTGTTGTTGTTCTTATGGTTAGGGTATGTGCCTTGTATTTTGCCGTTCAGAAACCCCTCCAGAGAATAAAATCCCAGACTTCTGCTGGAGTTAGGGTTAAGGTTAGGGGTTAGGAATTAGGGGTTAGGTTAGGGCTTGGGTATGTCCCTGGTATTTTGCCATTCAGAGACCTCTTCAGAAGGTTAGGGTTAGTTTTAGGGTTAGGGATTACAGTTAGGTGTTATGGGTTATGGATTAAGGTTAGGGTATGTGCCAGGTATCCTGCCATTCAGAGACCTTTCCTAAGAATAAAACCCCATACTTCTGCTGGGATGAGAATAAACATGGCAACCATCTATCAAGCTGAAGCAAGGAGGGTATTTGGGACTCTAAATACTCTTTTTTTTTTTTTTTGAATTTTGAGATTTTTTCATTTGAAGGTAAATCTTAATGCTATTAAATTCACAAATATGCTAATTTAAATACCCAATTCTATTTATCTAAAACACACATTGCAAACATACAAATATCTATTCTCTCCACATGTCAGAGCCCATTCATTTCATGGTTTGGAAATGCGGAGAATAGATTCCCCTTAAACTGCAAGTCAGCAGGTGTTTCTTTACAGTTAACTTTAGCAAAATTCATACAAAATAGTAATTAACAATGATCTTCTTTACTTGTTAACTCACAAGGAAACACCTTCAAAACTGCATTTTGTTAAAGTTTCTGTACTAAAATGTAGAAAAACTGAACTACACAAATATTGAAAAGTTAAAAATTCCTTAATTTTTTATTTCTGGTACCACTACCACAATTTACAGGGCAATATACCTGAAGTAATGAAAAGAAAAAGAAAAAGACAAAGCTACAACAGATAAAAGACCTCAGGAATGTACATCTAATTGACACTACATTGCATTAATCAATAGCTGCACTTTTTGCAAACTGTGGCTATGATGGTCCTGAACAAGACGGGTTTCCTGTTTAAGCTGCAGTAAATTTTCTGACTATGGATCATCGTTCCTTCTGTGGCAGATTTTTACAGTTCCTCTAATGCATTTGGGACAACTGTCTCAAAGTAACCTGCAGCTTTCCTGACAACTCCTTGCTCTCTCTCCTGCTAAGAACTGTAGCCCTTTCCTTCTGATTTTTTTTTTAGAACCTTCTGCTACCATATCCACCACTTCCACCACCAGATCCATAGCCACCACCATAGGGACTGCCTGAGCTCCTTCCACCAAAACTGCCCCCCTTCATGGGTCCATAATTTGATTGCTGTTGTCCACTATAATTTCCAAAATCATTATAGTTCCCACCACCACCATAGTTACCACCCCCAAAATTTCCTCCTTCATTGTAACCATCATATCCTCCACCACCACCTCCATATCCGCCTCCTTGGTTTCCATATCCTGGTCCACCACCACCATAGCCTCCTCTACTACTATAACCAGGACCACCACCAGAGTTGCCACCATCACCTCCAAATCCATTATATCCACCATCACCTCCTCCATAACTACCTCTGCTGCCACCACTTCCACCACCATAGCCTCCTCTTCCACTGAAGTTTCCACCATGGCCAAAGTTACCACCACCTCCAAAGTTTCCTCCGCGACCCATGAAGTTGCCAGATCCACCTCCACGACCTCTTTGTGATCCAGCGGACTGCATTTCTTGTTTAGAAAGGGTCTTTTTCACTTCACAATTATGCCCATTAATAGTGTGGTATTTCTGAACAACAAGTTTATCAAATGTATCATGATCATCAAAAGTTACAAAAGCAAATTGTCTCTTTTTTCCACTCTGCCTGTCTTCCATAACTTCTATGGTTTCAATCTTGCCATACTTTTCAAAGTAGTCTCTCAAATTACATTCTTCTGTATCTTCTTTAATACCACCAACAAAAATTTTCTTCACCGTTAGATGGGCACCAGGCTTTACAGAATCCTCTCTACAAACAGCTCTCTTTGGTTCCACTACACACCCATCAACCTTGTGTGGTTGGGCACACATTGCTGCATCCACCTCTTCAACACAAGAATAAGTTACAAAACCAAAACCCCTGGAACGTTTTGTTTGGGGGTCTCTCATCACTACACAATCTGTAAGTGTACCCCATTTTTCAAAATGTTCTCTTAAACTATCATCTGTAGTTTCAAAGCTCAAACCACCAATAAACAGTTTTCTCAACTGCTCTGGTTCCTTTGCATCATGGCCCTCCATTTTGAGACCAGACTCGCCTCTTCCAACTCGAATTCAATTGGGACTCTAAATACTCTTTAAATAGATATTTAATTGATTTTTCTGTTTTTATCTCTACTTTCACACCCATTTTCAGAAATACTACCAGTTCTTCTTTTTTTTAGAGAGACAGAGAAAGAGAGAATGAGGGAGGAAGGGAGGGGAGAGGGACAGAGAGAATCTTAAGCAGGCTTCATGCCCAGTGTGGAGCCCAACACAGGGCTCAATCTCACAACCCTGAGACCATGACCTGAGCCAAAATCAAGAGTCAGATGCTTAACCAACTGAGCCACCTAAGTGCCCCAATACTACCAATTCTTAAATGTTTGGGGTCATCTCTAGGAAAACTAGGCTGCTTCTCAACTTTTCTTATCATGTGTTCAGTAAGCCAGATCAAGGGTTAGGGTTAGGGTTAGGGTATGTGCCTGGAATTTTGCTGTTCAAGAACTCACCAGAGAATATAACCCCAGACTTCTTCTGGGCTTAGGCTTAGTGTTATGGTTAGGGTATGTGCCTGGTATTTCGTTGTTCAGAGACATCTCCAGAGTGTTAGGGTTACATTTAGGGTCAATTTTAGGGATTAGGTTTAGGGATTAGTGGTTAAGGGTTAAGGTTGGGGTTAAGGTATGTGCCTGGTATTTTCCAGGTCAGAGACATCACCAGAGGACAAAATCCGACTTTTGCTGGGGTAAGTATAAGGGTTGGGGTTAGAGTTAGGTTTAGGGTTTGTTTTAAGTTAGGTTAGGGTATGTGACTGGTATTTTCAGTTCAGAGACGTCTTCAGAGGGCTAGGGTGTGCTGTTAAGGGTTAGGGTTAGGGTTAGCTTTAGGGTTTTGGTGAGGGTTAGCATTGGGTCAGGGTTAGTGTTAGGTTTAGGGTTAAAGTTGGGGGTAGGGTTTAGGGTTTAGCAGTCAGGGTTTAGGGTATGTGCCTGATATGCTGCAGCTCAAAGATTTCTCCTGAGAATAAACTCCATGCTCTCTGGGATGAGAATAAACATGGCAACCATCTACCTAGTTGAGGCAAGCAAGGTATTTGCGACTCTAAATACTCTTTAATTAGATATTCAGTTGATTTTTCTGTTTTTATCTCTACCTTCACACCCATTTTCAGTAATACTACCAATTCTTGAATGTTTGGGGTGTTCTCCAGGATAATTAGGCTGTTTCTCAGTTTTTCATAGCATGTGTTCAATAAGTCACTTTCTCAGACCACAGTTTAGGGTTAGTGTATGTGCCTGGTATTTTCGAGTTCAGAGACCTCTCCAGAGGGTTAGGGTTAGTGGTTATGGGTTTGGGGCTAGGGGTTAGGGTTTAGGGTATGAGATAAAATGGCTTTGACACATTCAGAATTTTGGCCCAAATGTTAAGTTCTATAACTTTATGTAAAAATCTTTATTTTAAAGTGTTGGGTAGAGAACACAGAACCTATTTAATGAGCAACAAACCAGTAAGATAAAGTCTGCATTTAGAGAAAATAAAAGGTATGTTAGAAAATCCTTTGTTCTTCGTTCATGGTTAAAAATCTTGCCCAAGTCATTCAGAGCTGAAAGGCAATGTTTTCACTGATTACATTAAAACACCTAGGTGGTATGATATAAATTCTTTTGTTTCGGTGTGATATAAATTCTTAATTGTGACAGGAAAGTGCTTAATCTCTTTTAGGTATCCTATTGGTGATATGGGGAAGAAGTTGTGGTAGGGTTTTTAAGCCACAGCCAGAGGTAGCTGGGGAAATCACAAACTCCTTTAATCTTTAGAAAGAAACTGCATGATCTATAATGAGACACCATTGATAAAGAGCAGTGCTTTTTAAACTTACTCATTAATATTTTTCATGCCTCTTAAACCTTATGCCCCATGTCCATATTTTCTATGAAACTTCTAGAGATCTATGGAACACATCTTAAAGCAAAGCAAAACAAATACCTGGACCAGATGATACTCAAGGTTCTTTCAGAAAATCTATAATTTGTATCAATGTCATTAGATAAGCTTACATCTAAAGGATTCCATCTGATGAAATTCTCGAAAAATTTACTAAAATGTTTGCCAAATTGAAAACAGTTGAATAAGATTAGATATAACTATTTTAAAGAATTGGAATCCTAACCTTGCCATTCACTAACCATGTGACCCTGGACAAAGTTACTTAGATACTCTTTGCTTTACTTTCTGTATCCATAATATAGGGTTAATAATAAACCACTTAACACAATGCCTGCCATATAGTAAGTATTCAATAAATGATTAGTTATTTTAACCTGAAAGTTATTATTTAATTCAACATTTGTTCCTCCAATGTGTGATTCACTAACTTTTCCTGTCCAGATTACTACCCAAATATGGGAATTCTATGAAGATGAACACATAGATAAATGCCAACAACTAGTTAGGGGAGTTTGATTGGGTTGAATGAGTAGTTTAGACTGAAGGAACACTTTAGTTGCCCTATGAAGAGACATTACATCTGGTTTGAAATTGGTAGATGTAAAAATCCAGTTAGGAAGTTAAGGCTTATTAATATTGTGTCTGAGCAGTCACATGTTTTGCTAAAATCCAGAGATAAGAGAAGTAGCCTCTTATGCCCCATAGTCCAACACTTACTTGGATTATTTTGGTATGCAGGAATTCAAGGATCACTCTCTTATAATTTTGAAAGGGCAGGTTGATTATGTCCTTTGTGTATATATTTGACCAGTTTTTAAATATTTTTAAATGAGTGTAAAAGTATTACTTTGGCTAACAGATATTTAAGCTAACATTTTGTAAACATACTTTATTTTATATCTTTGTAAGTCATCAATAGACATATAGTTTTAGAGGCAAGTTCCTTAAACTTTATTGCCTTCGTTTACTTACCTAGAGATGAGGACAACAATATTACTATAATGACAAGTACTACTACCATTACTCCTACTCATGATACTACTTCTACTCGTACTGTTAATGTGAGTTGTTAGGACTAAATGAGGTAATATATGTAAATATGTGTAATATATGTGAAGTGTTTAGAAAAGGGCCAAACATGATATGAGAGTTTGTTATGATTATTATCATCCTGGATACTTCCAATAGTCAAGGAAAATATAGAAGAAAAAAATAGTATAGGAAACTTTAATTTCTACTTGGAATAACCTATACAAAATTATTATTTTTCTTGATGAGTTAATTTAGAAACACATGTTCCTTTCTCCTGCCTTAGGGGTTTTCCAAAGGGCTTTTCTGAAAAGTTAAGGCATTACAAAAAAACCCCAAGGCAGACCATAAAGAGGAAACACACCATTCTAAAATGCCTCCTCCTCACGCAGACTCCTCACACAGACTCCTGGCTGTTTTCTCCCATAGTGTCCATGTGACTCCACTGTGAGTTTCATCTATTGCGGGAGAATTTTAGAAAGCTCTATCTGGGCTATGTGTGGGATTGGGGCTCTCAGCCCATTCTTGGCCTTCTCTTCTCCCCATTTAGGTCTTCCAAAACCTATCTCATAAAACAACAGATTGCAAAAGCTAGAAAGCCCTTAAGGATCATTTTGTCAGGCTCCTTCATTATACAGATGAAGAAACAAAGGTCCAGAGGGAAGGAGAGATTTGTTCAAAGTTACACAGAAAGCCGCCAAGAATATAATTTAGATGTTCCGACTACCAACCAGTCTAGTGCTCTTTCCACAATATCTCTTTGCCTTTTTCAAATAACATGTTTTCCTATTGTCGTCTAAGAACAGCCAGGCATACATCGAGTACTCAGAGGAGGAATATAATTACAAAATTATTTCTAATCTCTAGCCCAAATACTGACTTCTTTTTAGAATCTAAGGCACAGTGTCAAGAAATAATACATTCCATATGCCTTTATTATAGCTAGAAAACTTACCTTCACGAAAAGCTCAATTTCAGGATCTGCCATCTTTTTGTTTTTACTACCAGTAGTCAGCCCCCTGCCTCTTCAGAGTTCACAGGACTCGTGGACTATTTTCTTCCAGTTTTATCCAAAGGCTCAGATAAAGTTGGTGCTTTAAGAGGAGAGTCCAGCTTGTAGTAGACTGAGTCAGAGCTGGCGCCAGTCTCTCTTCTCAAGAGGTGGGGTACAGAGAATTCTAGATGCTTGAGAGCAGCTCTTGAATTCGTTTTCCTTCTTCCTCTTGACTTAACATTTGAATCAAGGAGGAGCTGAAGGGGTGTGTGTAAACTGGCTGGCTATGAAGGTGGGGGTGTTTCCAGAAAGACTTCAATGCCATGAGTCAGCATAGGAAAAACACATACACACAAAAACACACATGCAGTGCTGGCTTCTATATATCAAGCTGACCAGATGTTCTCTAGAGCCTCCCTTTGAGTCCTGGGCTTCATGCCCAGAAAATGGCCTCTTATTGCTGTTCCTGTAAACTGACAGCAGCAAAAAGCTTTTCCAGGAAAAGGGCCAGAAATGACTTGGGTTGTATCATTGAAAAGGATGTTTATCTAATGATATTGTGTAAAAGAGGGTTAAAAAAAGTGTACTTCATCAAATGTCTCCACCCCCAATTCAGATTTCGCTTCCGAATTATATCTTTCACTTCTCTTCTATAACCAGGGAATCTTCACTGGGTTCGTTGAGTCCAGGGGGCATCCTTTGCATGCCCCATGTCATTCTTATTTCTGGGAAATCTGCACTGGGACAGATCACTTCCTGGTTTTGGTATCTGTAGCAGAAACCACAAGCAGTTCTGTATCTCTGCTTGTCAGCCTTGGGAGAAGCAATAAAATAGCCAGACTAACACTTGGTGTCTGTAGTGTTTCTGGCAGTTGTATTTTTTGCCTGCCAGGATGAGGGTGGGGGGAGGGCTGGATTAATAAACCTCTTTGGTATGAAGAGTCTCTTTGTGATTGAAGCCAAAGTGAAATAGACCCACCAGTTGGGTGCCCACTGTGACCCTGTTTCTACAACACCAAACGTCCTCTGTGCTCACGTGGGCTGTACAATCTGCCACTGCCCTCATGCAAAGAATTTACAGAATAAGAGGCTCTTGGCAAAACCGGGTCTGTGCACACCTGCAGGTTCTAGGCAAGGACTGCCTGATAGGAGGGTGGATGTTCTTCTGGACATGGGACCTGGTGATTTTCCAGACGGTTGATAGAGTGAGAGGGAAATTGTGATAGACTTCTGCTGAGCCGACCTTGAGGGTGAGTTTAGGACTGGCTGTTTGGCAGGCACCGGTGAATGCTTTGTTTGGCTGTATTTCTACTCTATTCATTTATCCTTTCACTCCAAAGACAATCAATGAACGCTTACTCTGTGCCAGCATGCTGATCCACTCACTGAGATTAGCAGCAAAGGAAGACAGTAAGTTTGGGAGGAGAACAGGAATTCCACTTTAGGCATGCTAAGTCGGAGCCATCTTCTCTCTTCCTGATTCCCAATATAGAATCAATTCAAAATCTTGCCACTTCTGCTTCCTGAATATTTTTAAACCTATCCACTTCTCTTTGCCCCCATTGCTACTCCAAATTTTGAGCCAGCAGCATTGTTTTTTATTCATTTATTTAAAGTTTTTTATCATTGAAGTGTAATTGATATACAATGTTATGTTCGTTTCAAGTGTACAGCATATTGATTCGACAATTCTATACTTCACTCAGTACTCAGCAAGATAAGTGGAGTCACCATCTGTCAACACGCAATGTTATTAAAATAGTATTGACTATATTCCCTATGCTGCACTTTTCAGCTCCGTGGCTTACTTATTTGGTCATTTAAAAAACTTTTTTGTTTTAAAAGATCCGAATCATTGCTTGACCCTCAGCCCTCATGGGAAAACCGACACTCCTGTCATCACCACAGCATCAGCAACACCCAGTGAGCTCTCTATGATCCTTGATAGGCTGTGAAAAAGAGGAACTTTCTCTCTCTTTGTTTTCTTCTCTTTTCTCTACTGCCCAGAGTGTCTTTAAAATTTCTTGTATTGAGACAACATGGATGGACCTAGAGGGTATGGTGTTAAGTGAAATAAGTTGGGCAGAGAAAAACAAGGACCATATAATTTCACTTATATGTGGAATCTAAAAAAAAAAAAAAACAACAACAAACACAAAAACAGACTCTTTTTTAAAGTTTTTATTTAAATTCCAGTAGATAACATCAGTGTAATACTAGATTCTGGTGTACAATATAGTGATTCAACACTTACATAGGACACCCAGCACTCATCACTAGGGCCCTCCTCAATCCCCATCACCCATCCAACCTATCCCCCCCAACCACCTCCCCTCTGTCAAGATCAGTTTGCTCTCTGTAGTTAAGAGTCTGTTTTTTGGGGTGCCTGGGTGTCCCAGTCTGTTAAGTGTTGACTCTTGATTTTAGCATTGGGCTCTAGGCTGGGTGTAGAGCCTGCTTAAAAAAAAAAAAAGAGTCTGGGGGGCGGAGCAAGATGGCTGAGGAATAGGAGACCTGGATTTCGTCTGGTCCCAGGAATTCAGCTAGATAGGGATCAAACCATTCTGAACACCTACAAACTCAATAGGAGATCAAAGAAAAGAATAACAACAACTCTCTGAACAGAAAAGCGACCACTTTCTGGAAGGTAGGACGTGCGGAGAAGTGAATCCGAGGCAATATTCGGGAGGATAGACGGCGGGGGAGGGGCCTCCGTCGGCCGCTTCTGGCAAGTGATAGAGCCGCGGAGCACAAAATCGGAACTTTTAGAAGTCAGCTCCGCTGAGGGACGTCACTCCAGTGGCTAAGGGGGGGTGGAACCCTCCGGGACAGTGTGGTCTCAGGACCCTCAGGGTCACAGAAAGACCGGGGGTGCCTGAGTGCGGCAGAGCTCCCAGGGATCGGAGCAGGGAAGCCGGCTGCAGAGGCGGAGCCCAGGCGCGGGCTCTCAGCTCGGGGTGGCCATAAACCGTGATCCGCGGCACAGTCGGGCCACTGCTCCTCCAGCAGGGACCCAACAAGCGGCAGATGCGGGGAGACTCACCTTCCTCCCCCGGGAGGAGCTGCGCGGGAGTGCACTGCAGGGATCTGCTGGGTTTGGAGACTCCACACGGGGTTGGATGCCGGAGATAGAAACGCGCGGTCACAGGCCGGGCGAGCACGGGGTGCGGCCGGAGATCAGGGAGACGGGAGTGACTGACGGCCTTTCTCTGGGGGCTCACTGAGGAGCGGGGCCCCGAGTTCTCGGCTCCTCCGGGGCGGAGATTGGGAGGCCGCCATTTTCGCTCTCCGCCTCCAAAGCTGTACGGAAAGCTCGCAGGGAACAAAAGCCCCGGAGAGCAAACCCGAGCAGATCACTTAGCTGGGAGGGGGCAAGGGCGGGGCAATTCCGCCTCCGGCAGAGACATTTGGGAACCACGGCAACAGGCCCCTCCCCAGAAGATCAGCGAGAACAGCCAGCCAAGACCAAGTTTACTGATCAATGAGAATGGCAGAACTCCAACTCTGGGGGAATAATGCACATAGAATTCATGGCTTTTTTTTTACCATGATTCTGTAGTCTTTCAAAGTTAATTTATTTTAACTGTCTTTTTTTTTTTGAATTTTTCTTTTTCCCTTTTTCAACCAACATATTATCAAATCCTTTTTTTAAAAAAATTTTTATTTTTCGTTTTTAGAGTCATATTCTATCCCTTCATAGTAGTTACCTTTATTTTTGGCACATATATATAAGTTGTTCTCTCTTTAAAATTTTGAGATAGTTTCTTCTAACAGATCAAAATATACCCTAAATCTCTAGTGTATGGTTTTGTTCTACTCTCCTGCCTGATCACATTCACTCCCTTTTTTTCCTGTTTTTTAAAAAATCCTCTTCTTTCTTTTTCCAAACAACTTCTTATCAATTCCTTTTATAAAATT